CGACTTCTTTTTTTCTTTTTTACTATTAATTTTTTTTCTTGATTTAATTTTTTTTCCTCTTTGAAGAACGTCGAAAGGAGGATGGATTCGATATATTATTAGAGATGTCGAGGCGTGTATTTGTATTTTTAATGAAGTTCTGGGATCGTGATTGACGGAAATTGAATGAAAAATCTCTGATATATAATATAATATACCGAAGAATAGTGGAAAATATTTAAAGGCGTATGGATCGATAATTCGACATATTTATGACAGGTGTTATCTTAGCAAAACTAAAATTCATAAAGGAAGAGCTGTGACATTTAAGAAGGCAGAAAAGAAAGTAGAAAAAGAAGTCGTTTCGGAGAGCATGTTCAATAAGATTGAAAACGCGAATGCAGAGAAAGTAACTGTTAATTAATCTTTATTCATCTGACTATTAATTGATTTACTTTACGCGCGTATTTCGCATTACTCGTGAAACGAAACGTTAAACGTGATCCTTAGAAATTGAATATCAATAGAATTTATGATTGTACGTTGAATTGAAAGAACAGTCTATATGCTATATAATATTTTAAACATTCGAAAGGTATATATAAATAAATTAAAATATTTGAACGAAATTATTCAAAATATTTGAAAAAAAAATATTTAAAGTATTTAACTACTCGATAAAATTTCCAACAGTATTGAAAAAAAAATATTGCATAAAAACAAATTCCTCCTTCTATTTTAAAACAGTTATTACCATGAAACAATGGAAAATATAATTGTTTGTAAATACAGAATAATTTCACAACGTTAATCCATAGAATATTATTAATATGCATTATTAATAACAACAATTATAGAAAATACCAAACAGAATAGAATTAACATAAATAATTATTGTTTCGACATCGCTAATTATCGTTTGTTTTCTCAAAATGAAAGGCAAACTCGTTCGCAACTCGAAATTCATTGCAAATGGATTTTACATTGAGAGCAAAGAAAAAGGTTCAAGGTTTCAAGCATCTCGTCGACAAAAGCGTGGTGTGGAGCAGTTTTCGTGGAAAGTTACTCGAGCACGTCGACGATACTTTCGTCGCGAGTTTTACAACCACGATCCATTTTTCGTACTCCCTTTCAGAACCTCTGCCACTAGACCGTAAAACGATGCACAAAATTCCGTTTTCACTTAGGACCTCGAGTAAAGATATCCATTTTCTCTTACAATTAATTCACGATTCTTCGAATTCACGATTCTTCGTGATTGTTCAACTTGTTACCTGCAAGAAGAAAAAATTAACTATAGATATTTGTACAAATAAATTCTTTAATAAGAATATATTTCTGCCAACAAATATTACGAATATCTTCAATTATTCTCTCTACCATAACTCCCCTCTATTACAATTCCTTAACCATCTTTAATCTCTCATCTTTCAATAGAAACCTGCATTTGTCCAACTTTCTTCTCTCTTCCCTCCCAAAAAAAAAAAAAAAATAAAACAAAACCAAAGCAAGAAGGAAGAAAACGAGACAGTTGCATAGAAGAAGCAAGAACCGGAAGAAGAAAGCAGAAGAAGATCCGAAAAACTCCCGTCGAATATTGAGACAAAACCAATCCTCATCCTCTCGAATCTTTTCGAAAATCTTTTCGAGAAATGGTCGTTGGAGAAGAGGAGGGCTCGAGAGACGAGGGAAGATCGAGAATGGAATTCCCCCCCACCCCACGCCTTCGTCTTTCCACGTAGCAGAGAACGGAAGGAACGGACCCCCTTATCGTTCTCCAGCCAGTTTTACGACGTGGAAAAGGTGGCAGCACCATCCGGATGGTGAAAGTCCTTCGACGAAGAGGAAGGAGTGGTGGTGCACATATAGAGGGGCGAGAGGGCGCGGCTTGTCCAGACGCTCTTTGTCCCGACAACGACGATGACGGCGACCACCACGACGGCCACCATGTCGCCGAGGTTCCTGTTCCTTCTTGGATCCCTATTTCTGCTCGCCGGTGAGTACACGCTCTTCCCACACTCTTCCTTCAAGCCGCGTTTCGATATCGATTCTCGACCATGGGGATAATGGAGATTCGAGGAAATTAAAATATTCGAAGTTTGGACCAGGTGTGGAGGGATGGTTTGGATTTGTTGTTCGAGTTAGAGTTAGGAGGGGGGGGGGGTGTTTGAGGAGGTTGGATCGTTGAAGAATCGTATGTGAAAGGGATTTTAGATTTAATTTTTGGGTAATTTGATTATTTTTGGAAGAGTTTTTTAAAGTTGAAGGGACAATTTGAAGGTTATATGTTATTAGATATAATTATTTTGAAGGGAAATTTCGTGAAACGTTTAGTTTGTGAAAGTTCGTTCGATATATATATAGAGAGAATATTTGTGGTAATAAATTTGATTTCTCGTCGAAGAGAAACACTTGGAAATCTACGTTCCGATTCTGTAAACGCAGGTGAAAGTTGTTTTCGACGTTAACAAAGTTTCCTTCGTATCGAACGAGTTTTCGCACACGAGAAACTTTCGGAACCTAGGATCGTTTCGCGATTCTTCGTTTCCTCAGATCTCTATTGCGATTCTATTACAACACCCTCAGATGCTTAAAAATATGTCTCAACAATATTCAAATAATTGGAAAAATTAAACGAAGATTGTAAACTTTACAATAGCCATAAATGTCTCGAGAATCGAGAAACCTCAATGAGTGTTCTGGTGACTTCAACGATTGACGCCGCGACGAGACACGGTCTCGCCAATCCAACGACGTATACTTTCATTCGAAATCTGCTTGAAATTTACTTTTCAAATTTGTCCAAGAAGAAGCTTGACAACGATCGTTGGAACATCCGATTCGATCAAAAAGTTAATATTTACAAATACTCAACAGTTAGACGATACACGTTCGAGAAAAAAAAAAGAAAATTGTCTTCCATTGTCTCCGGGCAAATATAAAATAAAATTCACGAGACACTGTCTCGTGGAACGTGAAAGTTTTGCCGAAGACGAGTCGGCCGGAAGCGGCGTCGATCACGATCGCGGATCACGATTCACGTATCGTAAATGAAGAACAAGAAGGCACGAGAAGGGACGTTTGAGGATGCTCGAGCAGGACTGTGGAGAGGAACGTGAGAGAGAACCTACTTTGGAGAACCACTGTCGCTTCCCTTTCCTCCTCCTCCTCCTCCTCTACTACTTCGTTGCCCTGACATTTCCAAGACTTTCTACTTCTATGAGGGTTCACCGACCCCGTCGTGTTCGGTTTACGATCTCGAGAGATCGTGGCTTCCAACCGTCGCGACATTTTCCATGGACAATCTTAGCAATGCCAATCTGCCCTTTTTATTCAAATGTCACGTTCGATGTCAATTCGTTCCCCTCTTCTTCTTCTTTTTCTTCTTCTTCGATTGCCAATTCAATCGTGAAAGATGATAGGGGAAAATCGATGGGGGAGGAGTTGATGCGTCCCATTCTTCTTGATTTTCTACTCTTCCTTTGATCTGAGAAATTAGAAAAATTATCAAGCTTTTTCTCACTTCTCCTCGAGGAATAATATTTCTTTAGATGTGTATGATTGAAAATTACATTTGATTATGAAGATTAAAAAGAAAAGAAGAAGGTGGAAAAAGAAGAGATTATTTTGTTTGGTAATATTTTCATGAAAGGAAAAAATTGCAAAATTACTGTTTAGTAATGTATCATGAATTCTAGTAATGAATCTGAAGTCGTTAGATTATTTTATGGAACGAAAGCATGGAAGGGAAGGATGTTGAAAAGTTGCGTTAGAGATTGTGCTGATGGATCGAGAGTCGTTTATGTAATCGATGATAGAAAGTAGTACGTAATTGTCAGTAATGTCTTTTTTACTTTCCAAGATTTTGTTCCATTATTTCTTTTATTTTTTTTTTTTTCTTCTTGCATTATTCGACTTGGAATAGTAAATCCACGTAAACACGAATTACTTTTCTCAAATTTATTAATATTATTAATTGATTATCCTTTGTCTAACGTCGTATTCAAATTTTCAGGAACACAAGTCAGAGCACAGGACGAGGAGGGTGCCGATGGGATTGACGCGAATGCCGAAGAGTTGTGTCAAGATAGGCCGGGGGACGAGTATTTCCGGTTGAACATCGAAGGGGACTGTCGCGATGTCGTAAGGTAATTTATTTCGCTGAATTACCAATAAAACTCAACGTGTTGACCATTCCAAGTCGCCATCTGTCGTCATTTCATCGAACTGACGTTGAAAAACACGACTTTTAAAAAATTCAATATGAACAATTCTTTAAAATAAAATTAAAGAATCATCGGCCAAAAATAAAAAAAAGTTTTTCACAAAAAACGAGAATTTCTGATTGAAGACGTAATGATCGACTTTAATCCTTCTCGTAGTCGATTCTGCAACGAGTAGAAATCGCATCATCGTCCAAAAATATCAAAAAAATTTTTTACAAGAAATATTTCTGATCGATCGTACAAATCAATCGTAATCGATTCTGCAACGAGTAGAAATCTCAAAGGTCGATCAAGTTAACGGTAAAAACGGCGATTTATGCGAAGGATCAAACGTTGAATTCCTTCGGTTCCTTCGCGATCGAATTCCGCGTTGGGAGGTTCAAGGTGAGCTTGATATTAGATACAGGACTTGCCTTCTACACGATGACGACAGACGGTGTATCCTGACTCACACGAATGGCAAAGTATTCAAGGACATACAAAAATATCTCGGGAGCAGGAATCCTGCAGATCCTGTTGCAGAATGTCACGCGTTTTGGAAGAAGTCGACGAGTTTCCTTAACTATGATTATAATAATTTTATCCCAGCTTCTTAATTTTTAACAAAAATTTGCTTATTACTAGTTTAAAATTTCTCAGGATTCAACAATTGGAAAAGATTGGATATTAATGGATGATAATTTGATTTGACAATTTTATTGAATAATACCTGCAATTAAAATAATAAATAATGTATAATATCGAAATTGTTTTAAATTTGAAAGATTAAGAATTGATAGAATTGCAAATTAAATTAATATTGAAATCATACAATATAAAAATATATGAAGAAATCTATTCTTTCCTTAAATATTAATTTATTCTCAAAATAATTTCCATGTAACTTATGATTCTCAACCTCCTTTAATTAGAATGTGTCTTGAGATGATGTGTCATGATGGCGAGCAGAAATTACCAACTATCCAAAATCTGGAAGAAGAATAATAATTTGCAAATATCAAATGTATAAAAAAATATATATATATATGTATATATATGTATATAAAATTGAATCACAGATGCGACAAAGCAAGCGAGATTGGCGTGACCAGGTTGGCAACAGTCCGATGTCCGACAGGTCTGGCGTTCGACATTGAGAGGCAAACGTGCGACTGGAAGACGAACGTGAAGAATTGCGACCAACTCGAGAGTAAGCGATACATACAGATTTCTATTTGATTAAACGGCGTCCCCTTTGTTTTCTGTCCAACACGCATAGGTGCACGAAATCCGGCCTGAAGCAAATCACGTGCCCCAGCGGGTTGGCCTTTGACTTGGACAAACAGACCTGCGACTGGAAGGGCAAAGTCACCAACTGTGACAAGCTCGAGAGTAAGTCGATGTATCGACCAGGGTGAGCCGGTGTACTCTGTCTCCATTTCCGTTGTGCTCTTTCCAAGGAATGCGTTCCATGCATTCTTTCGTTCCTTTTGTGAAAAGAATATCTCTGAAAAGAAAAAGAGATGTAAGACACATATATCGGATTCTTTTTGAAATTGCTTTAAACTGTTTTCGATGTCGATGTTATATGAGAAGCGATGAGAAACAACTTCTCGTCTCTTTTCCATTAACAAAGAAATTTGAATTTTTTTTTTTAAAGATTTTTTATATAACGCACGTTCATGGAAAGAACATCTTATTGAGAAGATTGTTTTCATTCGTTCTCCTGTTGAGAATGATGAAAAATTCTTTAAAGAATGTACGGAGAAGTCCGGCTCCTTCGTAGACTCGCAACGTAGCACGCACCATTCGTAAGGTAGTAGTAGTACTAACGCACGATTATCCTTACGCACTTTTAAGATTCATCCACGATACTTCTCGTCTCTAAAAATTAATCAAAAATCACGTATTTCTCTTAAATTTTATTTTTAGGTTAGGTTCATTATCTTTATACTGTTGCATTTAATTATCAAACAATTCTCTTGTATTTATTTAAATTAAAATAAGAAATTCATGTCTAATTACCAGACAAACGAAATTCCAATTATTATTACAGTTATCTCGAAATATGTTGAATGGAATCTAATTTCCTGTACTTTCTAAAGTCATGCAAAAGCGATCGGTTTTATGATTTTAATTCGATATTTTTCCACTCGTGCATATCTTTGAGTTACGTGAATTTAAATAACGTTCTACGTATATACATTCGCCGAGTGAAAACGCATGATCATTACAAACACGAGACCACTTTCGAGACGTAATCTCCAGTTCAGCCACTTTCGATTCGTTGCCGAGAGACTGGTTTTCGATTTTGAGCGAAAGTGGAGACGAGAAGTTCGTGCCTCGAGCGTTCTAACCTAGTTTTTCGAGACTATCGATGTTCTCTTCCTGCCAGATTCACGCAATTCTCTCGATCCATGTTGCACGACTAACACCCGTGAAAACTTCGTTTCGCTTTTTTTCTCCATCTCGTCAATTCGATTCGCTTCCTAAGCGATTTTTAATTAACATTCCGCGTCCCTGTCGTTTCGAGAGATTGAATTTCTGATACAGGTTATAAAAAGCCAGTGAAAAACTTGAGTTTCCTAGTTATTCGAATATTAAAAATGAAAATTGAAGGATTATCTATAATAATTATGAAATATCAACATCAATTAAAATCTATGCAACTAAATACGTAATCGCGAATAAAGTTATTCTACGCTTCGATACATCTCTCGAAATCGATTCTCGACACGCAATGCAATTTTTCAGCTTTGTTGTGTAGAATTCACTCTAATACACTCTTGTTCACCTGTATATATCAACACTTCACATATTTATTCACATATTCGCATAAATATATACACAAACACAATTCTTTCTCCTCGAGATCGCTCCAGGTACGAGGTAGCACGTTCTCAATTGCTGATCTCTTTTTCTTCTACCTCTCTCTGTCTCGCAATATAACGTATATACGCACACATTCTACCTTTCTCTTTCTTTATCTTTTCTCTATATCTGTCTCTGCCTCTCTGTTTGTCCATATCCAGCTCGGTTTCGCTTCGACGATCTGGCCTCCTTATAACGGCTCCTTCGTTATTTTAGTCAACTCGTTCGCTTTTATCGAACTCGAAACTCGCGCGAGTAATCGCCACGAATCGATCTCATTAATTTCTCTTTCCCTCCTTTTTTTTTTACCTCACGGAATAATTAATATCATCTCATTCTCGTTTAAGGTGACATTTTAGCTGCATTTTAGCTGTTCTATCTTCTTTTTTTCTTCTTTTTCTTTTTCTTCTCCTTCTTGCGCTGACCGCCATTATTTCACTGTCACTTCAGTTGTGTGCTTGTCACAATCGAGTTGTATTCCTTCGTTTTCGTTTCGAACGAAGGACTCGCGTGTTTCCAGTGCCTCTCGTGAGACCTTCTGATTTAATCTCGCGGAAAAGGAATACAATTGGCCGAAAAAGAGAATTTCAACGATTCGATGCAGTTTGGATATAATCGATCGATGTTGATGGCATTGGTCAAAAGAGAATTTTATAGGTTAGCTTTTGTTCTTTTTTAATTTTTTTCGTTCTTGAATTGTTTAATATACGCAATGTTATACTCAGAAAAGAGAAATTCGTTGTTTATTAATTATTTCGTAAAGATAAATTTACTTATTTTCTCTTTTTTATAATTTGGCCCTGACAGGCTTAATTGCGCAGTGCACAAACAAATATATTGAAATTTTCTATTTACGATACACTGAATTATCGATCTACTTACTTTACAGTCAATTGATTTTTGCATATAGCCTTATTCGAGTTTTTGAGCGTTAATGATCGTAACAATAAATCATTGCGTCATAAATGATTAAAAATGACTAATTTTTAAAGCCATAATTTCGAGAAAAATGAAATAAGCTTTTAAATGTAAAAGGTGCACGAGAAAAGGAAGAAAATGGCGAAGTTTGCTTTCATTTTTCTTTTTCTATGATATTTCGAAGATATATCCACGAAGATATTCCTTTTACGTATCGAGTAAACTGCATTGCTTGAAAACGTAACGCCGCAAATGAAATTAAATCGGAGCAGCTCGTGTATTCATATTTTTTTTCTCTTTTTGTCTCTCTCTCTCTTTTTCTCCTTTGCTCACTGTATGTATGCTTGTATATGTGTGCACGCGTGTGTACGTGTTGAATCACTTGCAATTCTCTTTTCTCGCGTCGTATTCCCTCGACGAGTGGTACGTCGAGGCACCGCCTCAACTTTTTTATTTCTCCGCTGCCTGTTTTCGCCTTTCGCAACAGCCCATCTTTTCATCACTGTATTTTCTATTTTCTCTATCTCATTATTATCTCAACAATGCCTACGTGTATGTGTGTATATATATGTGTGTATGTGCAGCGTGCGTGCGTGTATGTGTGCATATATATGTATATGTCTCTATGTGTCTATGTATGTGTCTATTTTTTTCTTTTCTTTTTATCATATTATTATATTTATCACGGAATTATCTGCGTGCAAATCGCTGCGAGCCAACGAAACAAACGATACTCTCGACACTTGGGCATACTTCTCGCGATAGGCCAACCGTGATTCGTTCCTTTTTCATTCCGTTTTTATATTCTCTTTGCCATTTTGTTTCTCTTTGTTAAGATCCTTCTGCAAACGATCTCAAAATGATTTCTCGAATAAATAATTCAATGGAGAAATCTACGATTGCTCCAGGGAAGAGAATCTTCAACGCAAAGATTCTTTTTCTTCTTTTCTTTTTTTTTTTTTTTTTTCAATTTTTCTATTTCCCAGCGAAATGGAAAATCAAAAGTTCTCTTTGTTACGCCCATCACGTTCTATTACGCTTTTCCAGTCGGCTAAGTCAGAAATTCCTCGAAGGAATTGAAGAGAGGCGAACGAAAAGACCGGTTGATACGCAGTGGCGTAGGAACTATTGACGCAAGCATAATTCGAATCCTCTTAGCTCGATACCTTTGACGATTTGTCGACGCTTTATCGTATAAAAGATGTATCGATTTCAATATGTTCGATATTGAAAGCTACGATGGAGAGAAGTCAAAGGTGTTCAGAGAACTTCCCACACCTGTACATAAAGTCCACGTGTATATAAATACCAGATTACACGGGGGCTCGAGGAAACTGTAACTGGTCTTACAAGATGTAATTAGATTATTATAGTTAATCCTTTGCCTTATAATATCACGTAAGAAAGTTTATTTTTAATTCTGACTTTAGCTTCGATTCTTTATTATTAGTTGTAAAAGGCTAATATTATTTTGAGTAATTGTTGAAAATAAAAAAAGATTATAAGACAAGGGATTAGTATCGAGTTGGCAATGTACTACTACGTAGCTTTGGGTCACATTAATCCCGCACAGTAACAACCTTTAATCCTTTCGAATATTATTCATGAAGAATATAAATTTATTATTGTAATATATGATCCCTGTAAAATTATATTGCGTATTAATATATTTGTGAGACATGTTTGGATATCGATGCAAAAGTTATATACATTATAAAAATATCTTAACTTATCAAAATCAAATTTTTATAAACATAATTAAAGAAATTTAGCTCAAATAAAGATTCGTACTCTTTTATCACGTGTCTTTTGCATAAATGCGTAAACATTCGCAGTGTAGTTACAAACAACAATTGATGTCTGTATTAAACCACACGCGTCAATTGTTTATAAATTAATAAAACTTTAATCATGATATCTTGCCTTGCCAATTTAATCGATTTATAGCCGACATTTTAAAATCGATTCTCCAAAAAATATTTCATAAATATATTTAATGCGTATCCAGCCATAGATGATCGATCGATTTCCTTCGTAATACAATTCCTCCTCAAGTAGAATGACACCGGTTCCTGCGCCACTGGTGAGCGCGCCACGATATCTGTACATATAAATTGGGCGAAGTAAAAGTAGAATTTGCAGCTGTGGTGAAAACACCAATGGTCAATCCAAAGTAGTATTGGTTATCGTCCAGGCGACGAAATCGGCCTGTTAACGAGGATTACAATTTGCAGAACCGCGTAAGGTGTTGCCCATCCTGAGGACCGACGAACCAGTCTGCCCAGAGGGCAAATTATCGTGTGGTAACGGCGAGTGCGTCGACAAGGAGCTCTTCTGCAACGGTAAACCGGATTGCAAGGACGAATCCGACGAGAATGCGTGCAGTAAGTGTCGATTTAATAGTGCTCCTTTTGGTAATCGAGTTGGAACAGCGATGCTGGTTTCCTAACCTTTCTCGAATCGCGATTTTCGTAACTATTATCTCTTTTTGCGAAGAAAAATATTTTTTGACTTTTGATTTTCGCGTTGATTGAGAACCACTGATAGAGGACACACGTGCCGTACACGTTCGCATAAAAATTATTAATTTCTTTCCTTTAATATTCCGCGATGCGAATAGACGAAAAGATTAAAAGGTTAAATTTGTGATTAATATTATATTTTCTTTTTTGTCTTTCTCTTTGAATATAAATCGACATTCTTCTTCTTATGATATCATTTTCTGAAAGAACTAAAATTCTCTTGTAAAATTGTATAAAATTTATATATATTATATACATATAAATTTAAAATATAAAATATAAAATATAAAATATAAAAATTTATATAAATTTATATAAATTTATAAACAAAACGACTATTGCCAATTATGTATATATATATATATATTTTTTTCTATCTTTCCAAAAACTTCCAAAAACTATCTTATCTCTTCGTTAAATTTCTCAAACTTGCTGCCAACGATTTCGTCCAAGTTAATTCGTCCTCCTTTTCAGCTGTGGAAACCGACCCGAACCGTGCACCAGACTGCGACCCAACGCAATGCGTGCTCCCCGACTGTTACTGTTCCGCCGACGGTACCAGGATCCCAGGGAACATCGAGCCATCCCAGGTACCCCAAATGATCACGATCACGTTCAACGGAGCCGTGAACGTGGACAACATCGATCTCTACGAGGAGATCTTCAACGGGCAGCGGCAAAATCCCAACGGTTGCCAGATCAGAGGAACGTTCTTCGTCTCTCACAAGTACACCAACTACTCGGCGGTCCAAGATCTCCATCGTCGGGGCCACGAGATAGCCGTGTTCTCCCTCACCCACAAGGACGATCCCCAATATTGGACCCAGGGCAGTTACGACGATTGGCTGGCCGAGATGGCAGGCGCGAGGCTAATCATCGAACGTTTCGCCAACATTACCGACGGTTCCATCATTGGGATGAGGGCTCCTTACCTTCGGGTGGGCGGTAACAAGCAGTTCGAGATGATGGCCGACCAGTTCTTCGTCTACGACGCCTCCATCACCGCGTCCCTCGGCCGTGTGCCCATCTGGCCCTACACCTTGTACTTCAGGATGCCCCACAAGTGCAACGGGAACGGTGGAAACTGCCCGTCCAGGTCCCATCCCGTGTGGGAGATGGTGATGAACGAGTTGGACAGAAGGGACGACCCGACTTTCGACGAGTCCCTGCCCGGTTGCCACATGGTCGACTCGTGCTCCAACATTCAGACTGGAGAACAGTTCGCCAGGTTGCTCAGGCACAATTTCAACAGGCACTTCAACAGCAACAGGGCACCCCTCGGCCTCCACTTCCACGCCTCGTGGCTCAAGAGCAAGAAGGAGTACAGGGAGGAGTTGATCAAGTTCATCGAGGAGATGCTGGCCAGGAGCGACGTGTACTTCGTCACCATGGTCCAGGTGAGCATGTTGCTTGGCTGCACGTTGTTGTTTCCATGATACCTTAAAATCTTTCCCTGTAAAGAAACAATTTTAATTAAAATTATTATTATTAATTTAGAAATTAAGTTGTAAATTTCGTACAATTAATTCTTATTTTATTATAGATAGAATCTGATTTACGTCGGTTTGAAATCAAATCAAATATAAAAACAGAATGAAACAGACTTGAACAGACTTTGAAACTTAAACTCCTGCTTTTTTATCTTTATCAATAAGATTTTTCAAAAGATATTATCCTTAAGGTAATTCGTTCTCTTATTTATAAATTACAAATCAAAATTTATCTTTAAATCTAAATTAAAATTTAAGTAAAGTTTATTTAATTTATTAATTCTTCCAATCAAATTTATTTATTAATTTATTTATTAATGATCCTTTCAGGAAGGATGAAAGTGATTATTAAAAAAGACAGTATGCAAGAGAATAGGATATTATTTGCAAGAAAATATTTTCTTAAATCAATTGGAAAGAGAGAAAGTAAAATTTTTCTTGCTTTTTAAAGATATTGCTTGGATATCATTTAATGCAAGGTGAAATTCGTTGGAAGCTTTATCATGATTCTTCTGATACAGTTCAATTTATCTGACGTTTTCAATCTCACCGCATCATTCGTGATCCATCAAACCTTGCTTTTATTATTTCTCTTTACATCGATTCATTTTCCGCTTTCAATCCAACTCCGCGATACGAACTTTCTTTCTTTCTTTATTTTTCTCTGGATGAATTCACCGTATATATTTCTACGCTTCTACGATTCGTAATTTACAATTACCCGTATGCTGCTTTCATTCCAGAGAAACACGATTTCCGCTTCGATTATTTTGATAACAGAAGTGCATAGATTAAATATTGATATATTTGAAAAAATTGAATCAATATCACAACAAATGCACAGGAATCGAACTTTCTAACGAGATTAAATTCCAAAATTTGAACAAAGAATTGAATTGAAACGTATCGAGAAATACAAAATTCTACAAATTATTAAGAATTAATGATTTCAAATTTCTCTTAAAAACTCATTTAACCAATTATGATATTCAATCAAATAATTACAAACTTACAAAGAATATACCTAGATCAAAAACTATTAAATAAATGCACACACATTATAATCAAACTTATATATAAAGATTTCCAAAAAATATTCGCAAATCTTGCAAATATCTCAAAATAAATACTCTAAATATAATACACCATCAAATCGAATCACTTTACGAGTGAAAAATTCAGTTAAGGACTCGTCTGACCAAACACGTACTCGTTCCACTTGCAGGTGATCAAATGGATGCAAACACCGACGGAACTCTCGGCGCTCAGAGACTTTCAGGACTGGAAGGAGACCTGCGACGAGAAGGGTCAGCCGTACTGTTCCCTTCCGAACGCCTGCCCCTTAACCACCAGGGAGCTTCCCGGCGAAACTCTTCGTCTGTTCACCTGCATGGAGTGCCCCAACTACTATCCATGGCTGCTCGACCCAACCGGCGACGGTTTCACTGCGAACAAGAAATGAGCAATTGAGAGAAATGATCGGTCGTTCGTGTGGCGCGTGTCCTCGATAAAAATTCGGCAAAGATCGTATCTTCTCGGGGCACACGCGCCTGAACGTGTCGCGCTGAAAACGTGTCGCGAACGGAAAACGAGGAAAAAAAATCTCTTGCCATGATCGACTCTTATTTACCACACCAAGATTTCGATTTCGAAAGGAAATTTAAGCGTCGATGCGTTTTCTGTTTTTAATTTAGTCCGCGAAATTTTGCACGAGTCTTAAACGTCTTGTTTCATTGTGATATTTTTGAATGGAATTTTATATAACGAGTCGAACGATTTGGTTGATTGAATCATTTTTATTCTTGAGATTTTTTTTTTTTTCTCTTTATTATTGTCGCAGAAGAAAGTCGAATTTCCGTTCGCGAAACGTTTTTCGTGATCGATGCAAAAAAAAAAAAAAAAAAAAAAAAAGAAAGAAAGAAAGAAAAGGAAAAAAAAGAGAACGAAGGGATTTATTTCCTCTTTGTTATGGAGGAACGAGTTCTTCGTGTAAGTTTATTCAACTTGTACATAACCACCGTATCCTTGCCCTTCTCTGATCCCTCGTCCCTTTCTTCTGCGGCGCGTAGTGCGTATTGATTCATCGATCGTTGAGGCGCCGTGTTCACTTGGTTAACGTTTAGCACTTAAGAAAGAATAATTAAGTGAGAGTAATTAAGTATGTAATTCTTAGAGTCCCTATTAAAGTATTTCACAATAAACGTTGTACTAAGAAACTAAAAATTTCTTTTTTTTTTATTTTTATCGCCTATTTGATACACGAAACACTTTTATATATGTGTGAAAATAATTTTTTAATCACGTGAGAAGTTTTATTGACATAAATAATAATACATGTATTCTTACTCTTCTTAAGAAATAATTTTTATGGTAAAATAAGTAAATTTAGTAAAAAAAAAAAAAAAAAAAAATGGATAAAGTAAATTTCACCTTTTTCAGCGATTAATTTAATATTAAATTTAATATTAAACTACTGCAAAAAATAAATGAAAAGAAGAAATCAACTTTCGAGATTCAATGTGCAAAAGTCAGTTTCGAAAATTTTTAGATAACAGTTAATCTCGAAATAGAATCGAGTGAAAGACGATTTAGTTGTCGGACATGACACATTCTCGATAGCCTTGAAAATCGTCGATAGACGCCAACGTTAAGATTGTAAAATGTCATTAATAATTCGTCCTTTCCTCACCTGCACAGAAGCCCGAGGATATCTTTCGATTTCGGAAGCATTCCTTTTCGATCACGAGTCGTCATTTAAAAAAACAATTCCTTGCACTTTCTTTGATTGGCAATCTTTCGATATTTTTCCCATAAGAATTTTATTCTGCTTTCCCATAAGAATTTCTCAATTGCCGAATACATCGTACATCTTAACAACAATAAGAATCTCAATTTTTGCATATCCGATAGATATTTCAAATATATTTTTATTTTTTAAATTTATATTTTATAATAGTAACATACCTAATATCAGCGTGAAGTTTTTGAGAATCTACTAGTGACGATACAGACAAGAATAATAAGTGAGAGAAGGATAGAGATATGATTAAAATATGAAAATCAACGCCATCTTCAGAGTGCCGCAAATGAAACACATATAAAAAAGGAGAACAAGTAGAAGAAAAAGGATAGAAATAGAATAAGAATTAACTATTAACTCCATCTCTTGAATGTTAATGATATTTTTTCGAAAGTATGGTAAAGTAGAATAAGAATTTAGAGCGCCATTTTCTGACTAATTTTAAAAAGATAATCTAGTCGATAGATGGCAATGATCTTTAATTCTTAGTTTTTTATTCTAATTTTGAAAAAGAGAAAAAAAATGATCTAATTTACTTTTTAAAAAGAAATAAAAAATATATTTTAGATAATTGGTTTAAGAATAAAATATTACAAGTTATCAAATTAAAAATAAGTAAATATTATTTTTAATTCTAAAAAGAAAGTATAATATATAAATAACGTGTATAAAATGTATGTATATTTTTAGATAATAAAGACTTTATATTTGTTTTGTATATAATAAATTTTGTTAAAGTAAAGTTATATGTATAAGATATATAAATAAAAGTATATACATTTTTTTTATATATTTTTGCATTCTTTAAAAATATGACAGCTGAGATAAATATGAAACAGGTAAATATGTTAAATTCTATAATTAGTATTAAGTAAAATGGTGAAAAAATGTTATTTTGAAAATAATATCTAAAAAAATAAATACAATAATAATAAAGATAAATTCAAAAAGTAAGTACATTAAATTCCAAAAAAAAATTCAAGTATGACAAATTTCAACAATGATATCAAATTCTTAAAATTTCTTACAAATAATATCAAATTCTTTTTTGAATACTTTCTACATTTTCGGAATCTAGACTTAAAATTTTCTTTTGCAAAGAAAAATTTGTTTCTTTATTTAATTATAAAAACTTTCGAAAATTTGTAAAAATTTTAAGCTTCGATCTTGAGGAAGAGAAATAGAATTTTCTTTTGTTAAAAAAAAATAATGATTTATCTATTTATATTTTTTGTATTGTTAGTTTTGATTTTGAAAGAAATTCTTGGAAATAATATCAAATTTCTGAAATTTTTTAAATTCTTATAGCTTAGACTTTATATTATGTGAATATAACCTAAAAATGTTTCGCAAAAATTTTTCAATATATTCAAGAATAAAAAATTTATTTATCTTTTGGTTATAACTTGTTAATTAATTTTTATAATTGTTATTTTATTAAATATTTTTCAACGGTATTATTCTCTAAAAATATTTATCATTCTTATATTTTTACAATTGATAGAAATGGAAATATAAATTTTATTTAAAAAATAATTTATTTTATATGTTTATTCTATGTGTTAAAACATTTAAATATATAGATAAATTAGAAAAGGATATAAAAATATATTAAATGTTTCATCTTTAATTTAACAAAGTATATTTTGCCCATGAATTTTTATATTATGGCATCATTTTTCATGAATGGAAAATCATAGTTTTCCATAAAATGCATTATAAAACTGATAAAACTTTATGTGACAAGTGCATGCTATTTATACATGATAAGTTTCACTTATTCTAATTTTTAGTTTTAAGATAAGGCTTAAAACTTTAAAATCACGATTTGTATATTATTCAAAGAAAGTAATAAAAAAAAAAAAAAAAAAAAAAATGAAATAAAATTATATAATATAATATATAACATTTTACATTTCAACATCTACATTTAACTGTACATGTAAATAATATACAGATATAATTTACATAAATGCAATAAAAAATGAGAAAAATTTGTATTTCCTATATAAACAAAAAAATCATACAAATTGATCTTCAAGAAACTATTTGTGAATCTAAGCAAAAACTTATTTAGGAACATTTATTTACAATTATTAATAAGTCAAAACTTATTTTAGTAAAGTAGTTATTTCACAGTAATTCTTCATTTGTTTTAATTTTAAAAAAATGAAGATTCAATTATATGATTAACGTTACACGTTAATTGTTTGATATCGAACAAATTCTAAACAATAGTCTTATATCTATTGTCACAAAAATCGTGCATTCGTGTTTGAAAATTCGAACAAATTATTGCACTTTTTCTTTCATATTATCTGTAAAATTTGTAATATAAGAAATGTCTGAGAGTTCGACGACATTAAAAAATCCTAGAAAAAATATTTGACAGTATTAAATATATATTCTTTCACGTCATATTCCAAGATAACTGCAAAAGATGAATGCTCCACATATACTGAAAATAATCAGTATAATGACAAACCAGAATGGTAGTGTGTCTGTAACAAAGCAGTTACAAATATTATTCTTTTTGCGCGAGATCTTTAATATTGATAAAATAACATAAAACCATATTAAAAAATTATTTATTTACTTACGCCTAAATGGTATACTATGTATGCAAATTTTGTTATCCACAGAAATGCTAACAACTGCAGTTTCAGTGTTACTAGCAATAGTAGGGCCATCTAATTTAGTTGGTAAGAATTCTAGGCCAGTTACAAACATACTATGTGCACCAGGTACATGCAAAGCTCTCCTCAAACTGAATGCAATATATATATCCACACTACCAGAAAACATGGTTCCAACTGCTACAAACTTCCCATCGTCCGAAACAGCCAAAGCAGATAGAGTTTCTTTATAGGGTATTGCTTTGACAATATTTCCAGAATTCACATCCCACATTTGTAAAAAGCTAGTATTCTTTCCAATTACAGCATTAGAAAGCATAAAAAGTTGAATTTTTGATTTTTCTTCCTCCAATTTTCTAAATCTGCACCTTTTATACATATATTTTAGTCCATTTGGAGGTGACCAAGTAAGGTCTTTGAACTTTGAACCATTGTTTACATTCCACACAAATGCTTTGCCATCCTTCGCTACACTTGCAATTAATGTACTATCTGGACAGAAATCTATATCATCAATTTCTTTTAAATGTGCATCCAGATCATTTAATTTATATAATTGTGGAAATTTCCATAATCTTATATGACCATCTGTGCCACCAGTAGCCATGAATTTTCCATTTGAACTAATTCTAACAATCCTCTGAAGTGGTTCTACCTCACTGTAAAATTCTTTGTTAAAATAATTATTGTAAGAGATTTTTTTATAAAAAATAACCTACCTAAAATCTGTTTGTACACTGTCTAATGGTTTTACTATCAATTGAAGTCTTTTACTTTTAATATTTGAATTGTCATCCTTAATTTCTTCTATCCTTTCTTCAGGAACATAAGTTTCTTCTCCTTTATCCATATTCTTTCTTTGTCTAATACTTTCCTTAGTATTATCACTAGTTGATTTAATAACCTCTCCATTTTTCACAGTCACTACTTTACTACTTACATTGTAAAGTTGACAGTGACTTTCCTGACCAGCTGCAATCCAAATTTTCTTTTCATTATTGTAAGTTGTACAGTTCATAACAACGCTGGGACCTGTTTCATGTCTGGTCACTTCCTCCGCAATAAATTGAGATCCGTTGTGAGACAATTCAAATATTTCCTATCATGAAAGTAAATCAATTAAGAAGTTTATATATTAATCTCTTTTTCTAATTAAAATATTTAAATCTCATAAAAAAAAAAAAGAAAAATTCTTACAAATCCATTGGCAACTCCAGTTTTTGAAGAACCACCACCACCACCAACCAGAATATGCCTTCCTGTTAACATCTGCAGGGTGTACAAAGGAAAATTTACCTTGGCCAATAGGACACAATTATTCCTTCTAGAAGTCATATTTCTAAAAATTGCTACACCACTACGAATATTTTCACTTTTGTTAGTGTTGTTTAGACAAATGACTATTGATAGCCAAGGATCATGACTAGGCTATATAAATTGGATCCCGACAAGTTTTCTCAAGGAGTACATATACAATAAATATTAGTGTACATATATTAGATATGCATATCCAACACAAGTTTTTCTCGAAAACAGACGACAAAACAGTAATGAACACGTATTCAGTTCCATGCTAATAGTTTACTTTCCAAATGTGCCACAAGATGACTATAGTATGATTTTCTAGATACTTAAGTCGATATCGTGTACTTCACCGAATTTGCAAACGGCAAAATGGCTGGTGCCATTGTACGTTGTTTTCAAGTCCCGAGAAGACAATTGGGTAAGTTATTTTAAGATGTTATTTTGTTTCATTTTGAATCATATTCAAGATGTTTGTGACATTTAAACTTACACAGTGTATAGAATGTTGATGTGTCGATGTTTTTCATACTTGAAAAAAATTTAAACATTTCAAACGTAAAAACGAGGTTATATAATTAAAATAATTCATTTGATTTTAAGGTTTTCTTGGATCGTCGTTGAGCAGTCAGCAACAAAGAACATTTGCCGATGCCGCGCCAGAAGGAAAAGTATGATTTAATATATCTTTTTTAATAACTCGTTATATTTTATAATATCTTGACATAAAACAGTATCAATGTTATTTTTTTTTTTTTTTTTTTTAGAAAAGAGGTGGTCCTCTGGCTGATCAAGATCGCATCTTTACAAATTTATATGGCAGACATGATTGGAGGTTAAAAGGTGCTCTGAAAAGAGGAGATTGGTATAAAACTAAGGAAATCATAGAAAAAGGTGCAGACTGGATTATCAATGAAATCAAAGTATCCGGTTTGAGAGGACGTGGAGGTGCAGGATTTCCATCTGGCATGAAATGGTCTTTTATGAACAAACCCTCTGATGGAAGACCAAAATATCTGGTAGTTAATGGTGATGAGGGTGAACCTGGCACTTGTAAAGATCGTGAAATCCTTCGTCATGATCCACATAAACTTGTGGAAGGTTGCTTAATTGCTGGTCGTGCAATGGGAGCATGTGCTGCATATATTTATATTCGTGGTGAATTCTATAATGAAGCATCAAATATGCAAGTTGCCATTGCAGAAGCTTATCAAGCTGGTTTAATTGGAAAAAATGCCTGTGATTCTGGTTATGATTTTGACATCTTTGTACAGAGAGGAGCAGGTGCATACATTTGTGGAGAAGAAACTGCTCTGATTGAATCTATTGAAGGAAAACAAGGAAAACCTAGATTAAAGCCTCCTTTTCCAGCTGATGTTGGATTATTTGGATGCCCCACCACTGTTACCAATGTTGAAACTGTTGCAGTAGCTCCTGTATGTATTCGATTTTGATATATTCTTAGCATTATTAGAAAATACATATATATATAAAATTTTAATTCTAAAATTAAAACTTCGACATATAGACTATTTGCAGACGAGGCGGAGCGTGGTTTGCGTCATTTGGTCGTCCACGTAATCATGGTACAAAATTATTTAATATCTCGGGGCACGTGAACAATCCCTGCACCGTGGAAGAAGAAATGTCCATTCCTTTAAAAGAACTCATTGAAAGACATGCTGGTGGAGTAATTGGTGGATGGGATAATTTATTAGGTGTAATTCCCGGTGGATCTTCCACTCCCGTTATTCCGAAAAGGTATTTAATTATATTTATTAATTAATTATAGAGTTTAACAACTTTCAATTCAAAATTAATGATTTTGTAGTGTATGCGATACAGTGTTGTTGGATTTCGACGATCTTGTCAGAGTACAAACCTCTTTTGGTACTGCAGCTGTAATTGTAATGAACAAACAGACCGATATTATTAAAGCTATCGCGCGTTTGATCAGTTTTTATAAGCACGAATCGTGTGGTCAATGTACTCCGTGTCGCGAAGGAATAAGTTGGATGTATAAAATAATGAAAAGGTATGCAACTTCTACTTATTTTTATTTTATATTGAAGTAATTAAACTATAGATTTGAAAATAGTGGAATAAATTTGTGTTTAGATTTGTTCAGGGACAAGCAGAAATACATGAAATAGATATGCTTTGGGAGTTGACCAAACAGATTGAAATGCACACTATCTGTGCTTTGGCGGATGGTGCGGCGTGGCCAGTTCAAGGATTAATCAGGCATTTTAGACCGGAAATAGAAGCACGTATTACACAACACAAACAAGCTATATCAAATTAAAGGTATAGAGATTAGAAGCCATTGAACGTTCCAATAATTGTCAAACAAATGACTGAACAAAGTGTAGATATATTTATACTTGTAAGATATATTTATTTACAGTGTATGTAAGATGAATCAAGGTGCAGTGTAGTTTCTTCTCTAATTTCTTATGTAATTCTGCTGGACTTTGTTTCTCTTTTAATGGTCCGGTAAATAAAAATGATAGAAAAACGTAATTTGTCTGTATTAATGTAGAAGCAGACAGAAATCATTTTTAAGATAATTTAAATTCTTTTTATATCCGAAAAGTCTAATGCAAAAAAAAAATAATTCCATAATACGTATAATCGTAAAGAATTCGAAGAAGAATTTCTAATGGAAACTAAACATTTTCAACAATACCTTTATAACACAAAAGGATATCGAGTAATTAAATTAAAATTAAAATAAAAAAATACTTGAAGAGAATTGCATTTTATTTCAACGATATCGAAATTCAAGAAAGTAACAGCTTCAAGCTTCGTTCGAAATAATATCGTTACAAGTGATCTCATTCGTTCTCATTGAGAATCTAACAAGTTATAGCAAGTATCAAATTATAATGTAACGTGATAAAATTAATAATTATTCGTTTCTATAAGTTTTTAACAAAATATACAGAATGGTTCAATTGTAATATTTATTAAGATTAATAATTTTCGATTTTTTTTTTTTTTAATGAATTCAGAATGATAATATTAAAAATGATTGAATCATTCTGTATATTTCAAATGATCATATTTAATATTTTCTTTTTGCGTCAAAATATGTATATATTCTTTATAAATTGAATATTTTCAGAAAGCAAAATATTTAATATTTTTAAATACATTTTATATCGAAAAAAATCAAAGAATGCGCGTAGAAGAGGGAGAACCGTTGCGAGACGAGATAAAAATCGAAAAATAAAAAGGACATTGGCACACGACGTGGTATACCGAACGATACGTTGCATTTATTCGTTCATTATACAAGAAAAAAGTTTTCTAGCACTAATGTTTCCGCTGACTACGGATACAGATAATAATGTCGCTCGGATTACGGTACAATGTGCGTATACAATATACAATATATATATATGTATATACATACAAAAGCGCTCGCTCGATTTACAGACCGATATCTTTTTCTCTCTCACATATTCTCACTCATTCTCTCTTGTTCTTTCGCTCTCTCTCTCTCTCTTTCTCTCTTTCCTTTTGTGTCTCAAAATCGGGACTGTCTTTTGAAATTCCTCATTTTTCCCCTTTATTCTTCTATATTTTTTATTTCTCTTCCTTTTTGTCTTCCTTTCATTCAATATATCATCGAGAATTAATTCTTTCTTCTTTTTATTTTACTTAAATAAAATTAAGCTAGCCGTTATAATATCGGGATAGCTTGTTTTTTTTATTTTTTAAAATTTTTTTTTTATTTTTTATTTTTTTATTTTTTTTTTTATTTCATCTTTCTTTGCAAGCTATTCCGGTGAGTTAGTAAGCGCACACACTGTCTTTTATGATAGGTCCGTTGTTACGTTATCTTCCTCCTATCTCTATCTATCTAAAATCTCTGTTTCATTGATTTTTGTTTTGCCTCTTGCTCACGAGAATCTGGGGAGGTGAATTGAATGAGAATTTTTATATATATATATATCTCTTTTTTTTTAATATCTTCTCATTCGGTTTCATCCTTTTTTGATTAATTTATTTTTAATAGCTGGCGATTATTACAAAGCTTTCGTATAAAAGATGGTTTTTGTTCCCTTCTTGACGATGTCAGCGATTGAACTTCCAGTAGTAAATCATGTTCCCTGAAGAGGAATCGACTTCATAATTTTATTGAACTTTCTCCAAGAGAACGTAATTTACAAGATTAAGTTTCAAGGATACAATCCTTAAAAATCACATATCTTATAACCCCTAAAAATTCACTTCAAAATATCCATTCTATATGCATTATTCAATGAACCAAAGATATCAAAAAAAAAAAATCAGATGATAATTCAACTTAAAAAAAAAAAAAAAAATCAACCAAAAATTGCTTTGTAAAAAAGTTCACAATATATATTCCAACAAAAAGACAACAAGTCTTTCAGAAAAAAAAAAAAAAAGAATGAATATAATTAATCTTCATTTTTAATCTCATCAACAAAAAAGACTCAATATAAATCATACAAAGATATACAAAAGAATAAGATGAAAGATTAAGTAAAAAAAAGCTTTATCTTTGGCTCATCGATATTATTCTTCCAGATGACCAGAAGATCCCGAAGATCACATTTTCATCACCTCTCCCGGACCTCTCCTGAGCACGCGATTAAAAGCTTATGTATAGCCCCGCTAGAGGAAACAAACGTGACTCGTAGCAAAATAATGTACGACGTTAATCTCGTTATTTCACTCGCTCGATTGTACTTGTTGCAAGTCCTGCCATTTTGGACGCGGTCTTTTTCGACGCGCGGAAACAAGGTACACGTACACGATATGATTTGAAATAAGTATCTCTCTTTTTCTCTTTTTCTCATTCTCTCTCACTCTCTCTTTCTTTCTCTCGCTCTCTCGCTCTCTCTCTCTCTCTCACACACACGCGTATCGTTATCTTTCAGGCGTATACAATCACGCTCTCTCGTTCTCGTTCGCCGGACACGCGCTCGCGCTCTTTGGCATGATCGTTGGCTATATCTTTCTAGCAAGATCACGCTTATTGTTGGAGACCTGTGCTGCTGGACCTGCGCCACTATTTAGTTTCCCGTATATATAATCAGCCATAAAAATAGACACGTCTCTATTGCAGTTTGCTACGTCAGCCCCCGTCTGCGCGGCTCTCGAGGATGAATTATTGAATAATTCTCAGTCGTGATCTTGTCTTTCTTTTCTTTTTTTATTTTTACTCGTTCGCATCGCTTCGAACGTTTCGTAAAAGAATAAATGGATGGATGATGATTATAGATGATGATTTCGAAAGTAAGGTAGAATGATAGAAAATAAAATAGAAATTGAATTTTTTGATGATAATGATCTAAGTATAAGTTGAGTAAATGATGGTTTATTTAGATTAGGGGGCGATGTTTTCATGTTTGAGTAATTTGATCAAGAAATACAAACGGTTTTTGAGCGTGGAGAGTGAAAATTAAGGGAATAGAAATAGTTTGCTTTTAAGAATACTCCCCTTATACAGTTTTACACATAATTCAAACTGTTTCGTTGTTAACTCTCTCGATTGATCAATGAGAATGAAATTGTTTGTTATTCTACAGAAAGAATTAAAAATGAAAGAAAAGAAACGTTTACTCGACTTAATTTGATCCAAAATAAAAAGCCGAACAAATTGATAAAAAGAAAAGGACTCGATTTGTTCGAAGCAAAAATTTCTCTGTTCGCAGTTGGTAATAACAGAAAAGACCGCCGATTTTTCTCGTCCCTATCCGCGTCATAAATCAAGAACATGAACGATAACGATCCATCCCGGTTCCCACGGTTGACAGTTGCATCAATCTTCTCTCGTGCTCGTGGCAGTGACTGTTCGACCGACCCGTTTACAGAACCGGTCAGGATCGTTTCATCGATCCGTACCAGGCTGAAGCTCCCTTCTTCTTCTTCTTCTTTCCTCTGCATCCTGAAATCATCATCCCTTCCATGCAACGTAATCGAAAAACTATAATCCATCGATTAACCTGACCACGCGCTCCCTTAATCGTCGTTTATCCTTGATCTATCTACACGAGTGCGGGCGATCCAAAATACTGCAAAATCTCTCACGCAAACTTTAGATCTATCTCGAGTCGGTTAACGTATTTTGATCGATCTTCCTCGTTTATCGTCTTACGATGTCATACCTCGAATGAACCTGCCACTCGTCCTACAATCATCTCTACAGATCGATTACCGACAGATTCATCATATATATATATTCAAACAGCCTCGAATGTCTGCGCAGACCAGGCGTGACCACGGACCACTCCCGAAGGAGAGGACCAACGTCTAGGTCTCCTGAATTTATTCGCGAGTCCAGCGACCACCTGGTCACAGGGATGGGTACATGTACGATGGTCGAGATCGCTCGATGGCGGATGGAAGGCACGGGGTAAGGATATCAAAAAGGGGCGTCGAAGGGTGATGACGGCTCGTCTCGATGCTCTCGGCGGACCTCGACTATCGTTCCTCCTCGGTCCAGTCGCTGGCCGCCCAGGCGGGTAGCGGCGTCTCGTACTCCCAGCCTGGGCCGCAATAGCGCCACGCGTGCAGATACATGACCAGGTCGGATGGTTTCGGGTCTCTGTACTTCACTTTGCACTCGTAGCAGTGCGGATCTACTGTCATCTTGTCGTTCGTGAAACTGGAGTCGGGCGGCTCAGATCCCGTCTGCGTGCCGACCGTCACCTTCAACGATTGCTCCTGTTGCTGCTGCTGTTGCTGCTGCTGTTGCTGCTGCTGCTGCTGCTGCTGCTGCTGCTGCTGCTGCTCCTCCTCGGCCAGGCCGGGCGTCGAGGAGGGCGACGAGCCATCCTTGTCGTTGTTCAACGAGACTCGATCCTCCATGTCCAGCTTCGGCTTGAACAGACTCATCTCCGAGTCCCCGTCCATCCCTAGCCAATTCTCCGCGTTGTGGATGCTGATCAGATCCCTGACCAACTCCTGATCCGTCTTCCCGATGTTCCCACCCTTCCCCTTCTCCGGCCCGAACACCACGTGGTTGTAGAGAGGATCGTTCACCACCGGGTAACCGAGGTACTGAAGGTGGACGCGGATCTGGTGCATCCTGCCGGTCTGAGGCTTGCAAAGGACCACCGACGACTTGCCGTTGTAGCTGAGCCGCTTGAAACGCGTCACGCAGTCCTTCCCCTTCTCCGAGACCTTGCACACGCCGATCTTGTAAGACACCACCTCGATCGGCTCCGAGCAAACCACCTCTTCCTCGGGGAACTCACCTTCCACTCGACACACGTACTGCTTGTGAACCTGGAACCATGGATTTGGGATTAATTTGAGTGCAATTTGAAATCATCCTTTTGGGAAATTATACCACGCATCGAGGGATTTATTTTAAAATTTTTAAACGATACATTAAGTATCCCGATTTCTCTTTTCCCAATCTCGATATATTCCACGTAAAATCTTCCATGTAAAGAATGAAAAGATCCTCTCTCTATTTCTCCAATCCGATCTTCGACGTTTCCCAATATCCTCGCCGCCTTTTTTCTCTCGGCAAGAAAAAGAAAAAAAATCTATCTCCAATTTCCCTCGAAACGATTACGAAACGAACCTGTCTGTTTCTTATTTGGTGCTCCATCTGCCTCGCCTTCTTCGGCGTTCTACCGAAAAGGAGAATACCGCTGGTCAGTCTGTCGAGCCTGTGTATCGTCCTCAGGTTCTTCAGGTTGTACTCCTTGGCGAGAATGAAGACGACCGTGTTGTGCCGGTATCGTCCGCACGGGTGCACCTGCAATCCCAACATCCGAGATTTATTTGCCGAGAAAACACGGGCTCCGTGAAAGCGGGGAGAGGGGGGCGGGGGAGGATGATCAGAGAGAAGAGAGATTGTGCAATTTGGTCGGATTCTGTTCGGTTAAAAATATCGAATCGGCGTGCGCGAAACGAGAAAAGCGGGCAAGGATTATTGTATTATTGTGTTTGCGGAAGAACTGGATTCCTGGAAGTACATCATGGTGGATCTATTTTTATTGTTTCACGTCCCGTTTTGCCTTTAAATTCCAAAGGTGAAATCTGTTTCTCTTTAGATCCTTCCTATTTTTAAAAAATTTTCCCCTTTCAATTAACAGATACAGAAAATTTTTCTCTTCGATATATCTTATATAAATTCTAAGGCTTGTTATCTTGGGTATAAAATCGATGTATTTCCATCGACCATCGTTTCGACAAAGTTTGCCCGTCAAATTAAAAAAAAAAACGATTTTCATCGAACTCCATCGAGCAAACTAACGTAATGTTACTACTACGGTGAGCAAACAATAAAGAACGGCGGTGAAAACGGTGATGGCGTTCGATCGAAATTCGAGGACGATCCCACGACGCCATTACGGTATCGCTGATGGCCAGCGCAAACGTTTCGACCGCACGACACCGTGTGCACGTGAATGTATACGCACGTGCAAACACGCGACGACCCATTTTCCCCTGTTGCCAATTTTCAAGAGAGGGGAAAAAAAGCGATCGACAAAAGGGAATGTGGATTCGATGGCAATGTGGACATGGTATTCGATCTCGAATAGTCACCAGAAGAGCGCTCTAATGAGAAGAATACTTCCAATTGTTGGAAGGATTGGATCTCAATTGATCCGTTTTTGTTAATTCTTTTGAATTCGTAACTTTTTATACAGACAGAGACCCCGTTGATGATAATTTTTCCTGATAGAAGAAATTTCGATGATTATTATATATATATAGAGAGAGAGTTATAATAATAATCTTTCTTAGTCGGACAAGAAAAATTGTTTCCATTGGAAGATTTATAGATTACTAACCTAAGAGTTAAAGCTCAATACCACCAACTGTAAGATTTCAATGCCGACGTAAGCCAATGTAATTCCACAGGTTACGGCTCGACTAACAAAAGAACAAAGGATTACACGATCGCTTCGATCTTTGTGCAATTGATGTATACCACATTGCATCGAGGATTGCAGCATAAATCAAGAAACAGCGTTCATCGTTGACTTAGCCAAATCAACATTCGATCGCGTTAAAATCTACTGCGAATAACATCCCCATAAAAATAACTCGATCCCTTTTAACAATTTTGCGAATCGCAGGTTGGAAAATCGAGGGAAAGTGGGTTGTTGGTTAAAGGGAAATATCAAGAGCGTCTATCTAATAAATCGAAAAAGCCTTGTTTCAGCAATACGTGGATGGAAGGACGTCGATGGATCGATGGAGCGAGGGACTGAGGTGTAAATAGTACATAAACAGGAAGTAGCGGCTCGTAAAGACACGCTGACAGCCGGTCGACAACGAGGGCCTCTCGATTTGCCCGATAATCCTGCTCTTCATCCCTCTCCTCGTCAACCCCTCTTTCTCTCTCTCTCTCTCTCTCTCTCTCTCTCTCTCTCTCTCTCTCTCTCTCTTTCTTGCGCGTACCCTGTCCCTTTGTCACCGACGTATTGTCTGACCCACTCACTGGCAAACCCGGATGTACTCCAGGCGGATATATATCGCGCTTCCACCCCCACTCACCCCCATTTTTCAGGTCAAACTATTTTTTATCACGGTGAGAAGGTTTCGCCGTGGACTTAATTTTTTAAGGCGATTCTTCAGAGTTGGAGGGCAGATTTATCCCTTCTTCTTTTATTATAAATACGAATTTTTGTTTCGAATATTTCGCTCGTGGAAATTTTCCTCCGATTTTATCCCTTTTTCTTTTTTTTCTTGTATTATTGCATATTATTATTCCGATATTTTTTAGGAAATATTTTCCACGGAATGTAACTAACTTCTCCAAAAAAATCAACCCCCTCCCTGAATAATAAACTTCGTTTTCACAAGCATGAAATAACCATCAGTGTTACAACTGTGTGTGCTCATTGAATCCCCGTGTGTGCATCGATTCAACATTTAGCGGCTATGAAGCGGGGAGGGGAGGGGAGGGGAGGGGAGGAGCACGTGTTGAATTCGTAAGCTGTTCGGCAGCGGGGATGGGATCGAAAATGGCGAAAATCTAATGGCGAGGGATCGAGAAGAAAAATAAAACTGGATCCACGGGATCCGTTGTTCCCCTTCCCTCCTCCCCCGCGCGTAATTAAATGATCATTTCGCGGCCGCGAAAATGTTTTTTGCGGTAATTAACCGAACTCCCGCACTGGTAATTAAGCGTCGTTTAATGTTTCCCTCTGGCTTTGATCCACGGATGGAACGGGCAGCAAATTAAACCGGCCGGGAGACAAAAGCAGAGGGAGAGGGAACCGCGAAACCGCGCGTGATGAACCGAGAGATTTCGTTGCGAGCTTCGTTTTACAAGGTTTTTTTTTTTTGTCTTTTTCATTCGTGAATATATACTTTATCGAGCGAAAGTTTGTAAAAAAATTGTTTTTGATAGACAAGTGATTTTTAATCGAACGCTTTGGAAATTAGTTTACTTGGAAATTTTGAAAATATGTGATTCGAGTTTTTTTTTTTTGGTTTTTCAATTGTAATAAAAATTTTTCGATCAAAATATTCTTGAAAAATATCCCAAAAATCCCGATTTCAAATTTCGTGGTAGATGATCGTAAAGTGGAATTTAATTATAGGAAATTTTGAAGAATTTTCAATCTCGATATTAATTTCCTTATTATTTTAAAACTTCGTTAACGCTTTTTCAAAAATGTTGATTGGCAAAGACAACTCGGCGACATTTAGAAGAATAGAAAGTGGACGGGTTGGTAATCATTTTTCTTTTCGAATCACTTTTATCGTCGAGCTATGTGCGCTATTATTGCGAAATCCTTAATGATCCTCCAAATGACATTCTCTCTCTCTGGTTGCCGGCACGAACAATTATCTACGACGATCTACACGATTTCCACAGAATTCCAACAATCGTACCTTCGAGTTGATAATTAATCGCGCATGCTCGATCGTATCGGAGAGATAATTAAGAAAATAAACTATTACACATAATATATTACACATGATTATACGTGTAGTTTTTTTTCCCTTCCTTTTAATTAATAACCCGATTGTACGATCAAATCAAAAGATCAAATCGTTCGTTAACTTGATTATAAAAAAAAAAAAAAAAAAAAAAACGCATCATAATAAATTTATCGAACAAATCGTATATCATCGCTGTTTTAAAATAGTGGAATGATTCATAGATCGGTTGATAAATATATATTTATGTAAAATATATATATATATATTTTTTATTAAATTATATATAAAAAAGGAGGAAAAAAAACGATAATGTTTCCAGACATTTTAAAAAAAGATTAATAAAGATGAGACAACAATGGTGCGAAAGATTGCGTGGAAAAAAATAAAAAAAAGAAAAGAATAAATAAGTGGAAGGAAGGTGAGCGGGAGCACAAAGAAGAACGGAGAGGAAGGAGAGAAAAGGAAGGTTGGTTAAAATGAAAAATAGTCAGCGCGTAAAAATGCATTAGGATATATAATACCGGCGCGATTATTCATAAGCGTTTTGCCACGTCGAAGGCCGTCGAGTTTGTATGAGCACGATGAGTAAAGACAGGCAACAAGGCTGGAGATTAAAGGGGGAAAAAAATTAGAGAAATACACCTGGCACTGTTTGCGTGCGGTTAATTGCGACTTAAAAAAAAAAAAAAGGAAGAAAAAAAAACGGAACTTACCATGACACGGTAAAGAAGGAAGGAAAGAAAGAAAGAAAGATAAAAGACGCGTTGAGAAAGAAGAGAAACACGTGCGGAGAGTATATATGCACGAGAACGACGATTGAACGCTTCCTTCTTTTTTTTTTCTTTCAAATCGTCAATTATTGACGACTCTATCTACGATTATTAATCATCTTTAAAATACACGCACAATAATTCGAGGCTTCGAAAAATACTTTCGATAATTTTTAAAAATTCTCCTCGGAATGAAAATTTACCGATAAGATAGTTTTTTTTTTTTCTTGGAATCGAGATTTTTCTCACATTAATTATTTATTCAATTTGGACGGACTTTAATCGAAACGTTACTCGAACAAGGATAAGATTGATTAAGAAAAAATTTACGAAAATTCGAGGGGAACGAAGCGCCTCCTCTTCTTCCCTCCCTCCCCCCCCCCCAATTGCGCAACGCGTTCGACGAGATATCGCGAAATTAGGCGAAGGTATTCCAGCGAGTAATCTGGGCTGGCACAGCCGTGAGCGAGATCAGAACGACAAACAAACGCGGATTCATTCGGATTGATCGCGCGGCGAAGGCTTCGGGCCAAAAATAATCGGCCTGGGCCGCAGGAAGCGTAATACGGCCTAGCGAACAATCGTCGTCGTCGTCGTCGTCGTCGTCGTCGTCGTCGTCGTCGTCGTCGACAATCGCGATAGCACAACCGAAGAGAGAAACAGGCGTGGGCAATACACAGGGTGGTTTTTTTTCCCGTTCCAACCCCTCTTTTTTTTCTTTTTGCAAGATCAGAAATTTTAAAAATTGAAAGTGGCGAGAAGGTGGTGTCGACAACTCTCTCTCTCTCTCTCTCTCTTTCTCTCATTCTTTCCCTCTCTCTCTCTCTCTCTCTCTCTGTGAAACGTTGCAACGTGTGTACTTTTGTAATTTAAAAGAGCAAGCAAAAAGTATTGAAAAAGTGATTGATTGGGAGAGACTGGTTAAAAATAATAATAGCGACCCCCTTTTTTGACGGTCGTCTTGATGACTTATATATACATACATACATATATATATATACATATACATATACATATACATACATATATATATATATATATATATATATAAGTTGAGAACCACCGGGGTACATGCACGCGCCTGTTTCCCTTTTCTAAAACATTTTTTTTCTTTATCTTTATTTTTTAATTTTTATATTCTTTTTTTTTTTTGGCAGTACAGTTCTGGCAGTACACCACTTACAGGGATGGAGGCGGGCTTGTTGACCACGACGACGTCCTCGTCCATGTGTATCACCGTGATCGGCTCCGAGGTGACAGGCACCTCGTGTCTGCAACACACCAATCGCAACCAGCTTAACGTGGCTTTGTTCCTCTTGCTACCGTTCACTCTATCTTTCTCTCACCCACGCACGCACAGAGACAAGCTTCGTTCATCCGTGTGTCGTCCAAGTTAAGGATTAGGGTGTAGGGGTAGTTTCTTTGGGGGAGGGGGGAAGGATGTAGCGTGGATCGTGTGTGGAGTTTTTTTTCTTTTTTTTTTTGAGATAATTGCTGTGAATGAACACTCTTCTTCTCTACTCTCGGTATAGACATAGATAAATTTGGAATTTTCTTTTTTTTTGTCACTCGAGAAAAATTGCAACTTTTTGTTTTGCGGTGTATGCGATGACGAGGTTTATCTTTTTCTTCTTTTTTTTTTTTTTTTCCGCGAAATGGGAAATAAATTTGGATAAACGAAGCTCGTGCAATTAAGAATGAGACAAGAGAAGGATTGATAACGATTCAAGGAGAAGATGTTCGAACATGTCGTTTCCAATCAATATAGCGTTGAACGTGCATTTCTCTTTTCTTGTCGAATTGTTAACCTCGAAACACGTGCTCATGCGGTTTCTTCTTTTATATTTTTATAATTTTGAAAAAACAGAAAAGAAAAATGATAATGAAAAATCTTCCGTAGTAGTATTATCTTTCCAGATAAGATCGAACCTTATAATACATCACTCAAAGAGGACAACACGAAGGAAAATGATCTTTTGTTAAATACGTTACCTTCCGTAATACACTCTCTCCATTCTTTCTTCTCTCTCCAACGTTCTCTCATTTCGAACATTTTCAAACATATCTCCTTTTATGAATAAGATTCTTGAGGAATTAAACTTTCTATTATGCTTAATCGTTTCCATCTCTCAAAAATTCCCTAAAACCTAAAAACAATTTTACCAATTTTACCCTTCTCCCCTCCCCAAATTCCAAAACGCTTTCCAAAAAAAAAAACATGCCCAGAACCTTTCCTCAAACAATTCCAAATCCTCCCTCCGCGTGTTAAAACACATTATCATTCCTCGAGACCCCATCCAGAACAGGAAGCAACCCCCCTCTCGACGGGAGGGAGAGTATTCCTTTACCGGGCGTTAAGCTTAAACAGGTTGTAATGGCGGCGCGCGAAGTGGATGGAAGAAAGACGGCACAAAGAGAGACGGGCGCGCGACAGCGACGATGCCGCGAAGAAACGGGAGAGGGGAGGGGGGAGGATGGACGACAGGTGGCTCCGCGCTCTTCTCTCTCGTTGCACGCTCCCGTTCTCGAGCGTACGCGACTCCAATTACACGTTCCATCTGCCTAATGCGTTCCGTGAAACTGCACCAGTCGTCGTCGTCATTCTTTCCAGACAATAAGGAACCACCAACCGAGCTCTCCTCACCCGCCAAGCGAATTCTCCTTCTGCAAATTTTCCAATGCTTTCTGCACTTCGTTCTTCTGCGCCCCCTCTCTTTCGCTTTTTCCACGCCACATCTTTTCCTTCTTCCTTTTATCGCGTCGTCGCTGTGTTTCCATCCACTCTCCGTCGACGAGGGAAAGTATTGTTGCGGGAGAAACACCCTCTCTCTCTCTCTCTCTCTCTCTCTCTATCTCTGACAGTCGGCTCTTTTGAATAATTCAATTCGAGTCTAAGGGTAATTTCTAAGGGAGGCTTCTCGAGATGATTCTCGGCCTCCTAAGGCGGCTAAGAGATATTTCGATCGAGATTTCGAATTCGACAGGGTTCATTTCGAATAAAGAATTCTCTATTCTATCTTTTCTACTTTTCGATGTCTCAGAGTTGGAAAAATCCTTTTCTTTTTTATTATCGAAATGAAATATTGTAATATTGCGATTAGAGAAAGAAGACAAAGGTTTCTTTTAGAACTTTCCATCGACGGTGAAGCAAAGAGTACCAAGCTTTAAATGATTAAAAGTTGGAGAAGCAAAGAGATCGATCCTCGATACGTCTTTCTTTTTAGATATCTTCGAATAAAGAGAAGAGGGTTTGCTCGGATTTAATCGGAACTTTCGGATGCTCGGTAACTTTATTTTAAGAAGCCTACCTTGAAATACTACATTTCCCCAATTTTCTCGAGAAACAAAATTCCAATTATAACACAATTGCAATTTTAAAGATAAAATCTATCCTGTATATCAATATCATTAATCAAATCGATCGAAGAGGATTCTTTATTAAAAATTAAAAAGTCCATTCCCTTCTCTTCCACGTGCCGCAAAGCGAAATGGATCCGGCTAACATTCAAAAGAAGAGGGGGAGCAAAAAGACGGTCCATTAATCCTCTCGTCATTTTTAATCGGGCCTTTGGATTACTCCTCCGTTTTCCATCGAGGCATCCAGGCCAATTAACCACGCTTGCTTCCTTAATGACCCTTTGGAAGAAAGACCAAACTTCACCCTCTTTTTCCACCCCCAAAAACATTTGTTGGAAACCTCTGCGTGAAATTTTAAAAATTACGAGACAGGTGCGTTGCACTGACCGATTGGAAAACTTGCTGGAAAAGCTTCGAGGAAAAGGGGGTAAATTTAATAATTATGACGCATTTATTTCATTCGGATTTTTGGGGAAAAAGAGCAAGTTCGAGGAAAAGGAGAAAATTATAGTAGATCCAGCCAAAAAGAATTAATCCTACTGTTAAAATGAGGCGACAAAATGGAAGGAAAGAATAAACTAAGGAATATTTTATTAAATATTTACGAAAAAATTCAAGAATTTATATGCTTCCACCATTTCTATCGCAAACAAATCTTCTTTCAATCTCGCGAAACTTTTCTTCGATCGAAGAAGAAGAAGAAGAAGAAGAAGAAGAAGTAGAAGTCGCTCGCCTGGCCCGATCCAGCTTTTGGCTTTATTTCAGAAGGGAGAGAGATCGGTCTTATTTATTATCCTTCCCCGCTTAATTTAGCGTCATAGTGGATACGCGTGACGGAAACTGACGGCCGTTAAAACAAACGCTATAGGACAATGTCCGTATCGGATCGAATGTTCATGCACGTCCACCTCTTGTGCCTTACGTAACGCGGAATCAAACCGTTTGTTATAAATAATTTTGGGATTCCTCGTCCTAGAACCGGGGAACAACAGGGGGAAAATGAGATCACGTGTTTTAAAAATATTCCTTCTTGCGGCGGTACAGAGAAAATATTTTGTTATTCTAGAACGTTTCTTCAACAATTTTTAACAATTTTTTTTTTTTTTTTTTTTTTTTTTTTTAATAACGAATATTACTTCGTTTCAATCCTTTACGATCGGAATGAAAATTTTTTTGATCGAAATAAAAATAAAAACGATTGCTCGAATTTAATTTTGTTTCAAATACATTTGCCGAATATTAATATAAATATTCTCGGTTTAAGGGTTCAAGGTTTTTAGAGCGGAGGAAGAGGAGGGGGACGCGATTTCTGGCTTACAAACGACGCCCCAACTCCCCTCCTCCCGAGACTCGACCTACCACTGTAGATAAGACCGCAGAGCTTCCCTTATCTCGCCAAGTCCCCCCCCCTCCCCTAGTTATCCAAGTCGAACGAGTCCTTTCGGATCCGAGTTACGATTGAACTAATCGAACGAATCCGCTCGGCGGTTGCGGGTTTGTCGTCAAGATTTAGGGAGCCGTGCACTTCGTTAAAAATTTGGCCCGAGAGGAAGCGAGAGAAATCGAACAAATTATTTTTTTTTTTTTAAATTTACTAAACTTGGAGAAATGATACATCGATGAATTTTTGACTCGAATGACGATTTGATGATTTTCTATAAAAAGAGAAAAGAAAATAAAGTAAAGATTCAGAAAAGAAGAAATTTCATTTTGGCGCACCACGGAACCGATCCGTTTCCTGGTACAAACCAGCGTCTCGATTTATTTCGGGAGCTAGGCGGACAAACGCGGAATTACGAAAATGCTTTCGCGCTCAGGGACGAGGTTCGACCGACAATTAGAGGCGGCCGTCTCTTCCGAGATCGCGAATAATTGGCCGACGATGGCCACCGATCATCGTGGAAAGATTTTAGGGAAGCCACTCGTCGCCCTCTTTCCACTGGCGCGAAACAAATTCAGGGACGAGACGTTTCAAAGATTTTTTCCAAGCTTAAAACTTGGTATATATGATCTCGATGATCTTTTTTTTTTTTTTTTTGTTTTTATACCTTTGAAAATTCGCAAGATATCTTTGAAGGAACGAGATATAAAAATATCTCGATGAATAAAAATGGAAGATAAAATGGAGTTTAGATAATAAAGATTAGCCTTATACCTCGGATTATACTACGTTTTGCATTTTTCTGCATATCCTGCATACACTTTTTTTCTACCTTCAAATTTTGCATAAATGCATAAACATCCGCAGTCGGGTTATAAGGAATTCAAGTTGTAGATAAAAGCGAGACAGTTCTATCTCTGTCGTACCGCCGCTTCATTATATCTCTCTATCTCCCTTCGTCCGAACTTCGATGCGTAACTCGATAAATAAAAGGCTAATTTTTGCACGTCGCAATACTAGTTTTATCAATTATTCAAAGATACGTATTTTCAATTTTATTATTAAAATTTATTAAATTGCCTATAGCAATAATAACTCCAATTCTACTTTCTTTTTTAATTTTAATTCATCAACTTTGATTACAGCTGGATGAAATTGCAATAATTGATTTTATATCATACTATTATTAAACATTATTTCTTCTGAAACAACAATCTGTCTCGTGAATATACATAACGAATATATAATACGTATATAAAAATTAACAGAAGAAGAAGAAGAAACAAAAAAAAAAAAAAAAAAAAAAAAAAAAAAAAAAAAAAAAAGAAATCGACGATTCGATTCATCCCCACGATTTATCGACGATTCGTGATACCGTATGGATGGATCTGTGTGAAACAGCGATGCATATTTCATCGGGGATGCGTGTCACGTCGGTATGCGACCCGCGTTAAATTTGGAAGGTGGAAGGCGTAGTCGCAACGCGGCGAGTGTTGCACTTTTCAAATGTCAGCCGTCGCGACGGCACATGCG